CACCGTGTATTGTCTCAGCCAGTTATAACTTTAATTTGGAATTCCCTTCTTTGGTCAGGTTTTACCAAAATCCTTCACATTATTTCAATGTATGTTTTTAGTTGATTGCTGACAGACTTAACTATTATGTCGCAAGTAAATGCGAATATAAATCATATTGATTTAACAGTGTACACAGTGAAAATCAATATTCCAGGAGGTGGAGCAGAGATGACATCAGACTAGCAGAAGCCAGCCTGGCTCAGCATATAAAACAGACTTCCAAGGCAATTCCACAAGGCAGAAAACACATAAGAGCAAGGAATGAACAGAACGTTACTGAACACACTACTTGGCTAACCACGTAAATCTGACATTCCCAATCACCATTCAAAAACAATCAATCTTAAGCACATGCCAAGCTCATTCTATAAAGTAATGTTCATCCTTGACAAGACAAGGGATGTACTTTGACTTGTTAAAAAGCTTTGGAACAAATTCTATTCTATTATTACTACCATTCCATATAGCTGAGAAGAGACAAAGGGTCTGAGTCTTCTCACTTATATCAGGGCATATCAGAAGTAACTGCACTGAAGTGGAAAGTATTACACTTGTGTTAGCTGGATCAGAATGAGACAGCTAACACCAGCACAATTTAAGACTCCAACTGATCTTTCCACAAGCTCTGATTGCCTAATATGCATTCATTCAGAAAAAAAAACAATATAGAGCTCAACGGTTGATACTAATCATGGTCACAGGGTACCAACCACAATTTTGGTATTTTAGTACGACTCAAATCCCTTAAACTTGGACACCTGTCAAGTCTTACTGAAATCTTTTTAAGGAATTTATTGCAAGCTGTGACCTTCAAGCAAGTTACTAAATACTTTCAAAACTTTCCAATCATGGCGAAAAAAGTATTTCTTTTACTAAAATGTTAGTAACAAAGTAAGAAACCTTATGATCTGTAGGTTGCTTGCTAAATTGTTTCTTTTCTCCATTTCTACTTAACTGCTTATCATTTCAGTATTCATGCCTAAATAATGAGCATCTTCTCCAAGTCAAGGGCTTAAAGATACTAAGTGTAATCTTCTAATCCACAGTTCACATCACTTATAGTATATTTCATTGAGGCAGTGTAGATTCAGCACTGGAAATCATGAGATTTTGATTCACTCACTCTCCGTTTTATATTTTGTTTTACATATTTAGCCAAGAAAAAACCTTCCTCATCAGTTAGTAAAAAATAATAATTCTCCCACTATAACCCAGAGAAGGCTTCTTCACACCCTGCATTCCAACAATCTGATAATATCATACAAGTTGTAAAAATTCTGCTGTTCTACTTGGATTTATTACATTCAGTTCTATACATTCACACTCCATTATGCTAAAATGAAAGAAGGCAAAAGAGCTTCCTTGCTGATTTTTCCAGAGTCAATCTCTCCTTAGAAATATAAAAGCTACTGAAGATTATGCCACAGAAAGCAGCTGATGAACCTCTAGTCATGTAACTATTGATGGGTTTTTTGCAATATACCTCTCAGGCATCAACCCTAGAAAGAACTCTATGCCATAAAGCAACAGTTCTACAGCAATCAGTGTTGGACTTTCCAAGTCCCAATGAACTGGGGCAGAAGACAGGGTCAACTCTGGCTGTTCTCTTATCAGAGCTACAGATTACTGAATGAGTGGATCTCTTACAGGCACATATGAATGCACCAGAGATCAAAAAGGAGAAACTGGGAAAGAGAGTACACAATGCTAGAATGCAATGACACACTAGCAGACTTGTTCTGAGTAACAAGCCTGTTGAGAGAAAAGATTTCCCAGGAAGAGCTGCAAAGCCATTTTTTTCCCTGAAGTTATTTATGGGCTAAAACAGATTGTACTAAGATGAAGAGATTTCAATTTAGTACAGCTTTCAATCGATATATCTTGGGGAAATAATAAAACATTATTTGGGGCAATCAGGTTTATACTAATCATTGTTATTAGACGAGTCATTCCATTTCTCATAATCATAGCAATAGCATTACGAAAAAAAATCAGCTTACTAATACCACTGAATAATAAATTTAACATACAACCACAGTACTTAACATATTTTTGACAAGTGCTGAAGTCACGTTCTGATAAGGTCTTTTCTGAGATCTGATCACAAAGCACGTTCACAGTACTTATGAGCAGGAGACTGACTCAGGTGATCCTCCCCCTCTATGTGACGCTGGTCAGGCCGCAGCTGGAGTACTGTGTCCAGTTCTGGGCGCCGCACTTCAAGAGGGATGTGGACAACATGGAGAGGGTCCAGAGGAGGGCCACTCGCATGATCAGGGGGCAGCAGGGCAGACCCTACAAGGAGAGGCTATGGGACCTGAACCTGTTCAGCCTTCACAAGACAAGGCTGAGGGGGGACCTGGTGGCCATCTATAAACTTACTAGGGGGGACCAGCAGGGTTTGGGAGAGACCTTGTTCCCCCAAGCGCCTCCCGGAGTAACAAGGAATAACAGCCATAAGTTGCTAGACAGTAGGTTTAGACTAGACATTAGAAGGCACTACTTCACAGTCAGGGCGGCTAGGATCTGGAACCAACTTCCAAGGGAAGTGGTGATGGCTCCTACCCTGGAGGTCTTTAAGAGGAGGTTAGATGAACACCTTGCTCCAACTGGAGGGAGGGGGACAGCAGGTAACTACCTCCATTCCTGCCATCTCATACTCAATTATAAGGTGAAGGGCTTTTTCCCCACAATGTTAAAAAAGAGAAAGAAGCCTCGTCTTCGAAACAACTAAATACGGTATTAAATTTTCCTTTGATATGGACACAAACTGTGTGCTTTCATTAGAGCAGGTGCTGGTACCCCAAACACCTTCTAAACCAGTGGTATTCAGCCTTTTGGCCCTGCAGACGAGATGACTGGGACCAGGCTGGTCGGTAGGCCAAATCAAGCCAACATGCCAGCATCGGGCCTCCCAGCACCAACCACTGCTGCCTCCTCACACAGGGATTGGTCCCTGGGGGACTGGCATTGCCTGCTTCTGCCCCACTTGCCACAGTTGGTTCCCAGGGGCTAGCCCAGTGCTCCTCCCTTCCACCCCTGCGTGCCAGCATTGGTCTCTGGAAGCTTAACACTGCACTCCCCTACCAGGTTTAGTCCCCATGGCCCTGGGGCACCTCTTCAACCCCAGCATACTGGGATTAGTCCCCGAGGCCTGGCATTCCCCTCTCCCCACCTTACATGCTTTGATCATGTACCCAATCAAGTGTGCAGAGCCTGGAGATCCACACCAGGCCCAGAAAATGTAACAGTAGTGGAGCAATGTCTCTACTCCCCTGCTACCGAATTTCTGGAGCTGTAAGGAGCCCTGTGGGATGAAGGACACGGGGCCATCAGCTAGATGTGGCCTGTGGGTTGAGCACCCCTGTTCTAAACTGGAAGAGGGTAAACTTGCTAATTTTAGACCCATACATCCACACATTGTACGTGTTTCTCTTTTCAAACTGACATTGCTCCCATGCTAGCCATTATGAATGGAAAGAGCTCCTTGAATATCTGCAATAGAGGCTGCTACATTAGCCTCTATTAACCTCTGCCATGATGCCTACAAAGCACTTGACAATAACTAAGCAGCTGCTGACTACTGCTTATTATTCTAATCATAAGTGTCTCTCTGTTAGCTTGTGTTCCCCTGACTGTTTGTTATAACCATCTGTGACTTTTTGTCATGTATTAGATTGTAAGCTCTTTGGGGCACAAACTAGTGTTACATAGTATTTGTAGTATATATGTATACAGTGTCTAATACAACGGGGCAATGATTCCAATGCCCCAGTTGGAGCTTCTAGGAACTACCATAGCACCAACAGTACATTACTGTTACATATAAGTACTGCAGGAGGAACTGATTTTAGGTTTCACAGAATAGAATCCATTCACCTGCTAAAGCAGAAAAGTAGATTAGAAAACCCAGATGGTTTGTAATCACTTAACAAAATAGCAATCCTCTTTAAAACACATTTTTGTGGAGATTTTCTTACGATTACCACCTACATTTTTTTTCTTTGCACGTGAGCATACACACATTGGACAAGTACACAATGCTGTACTGATACCGTTGTCCACCTCACGCCAGATTTGCAAGAGGAACGGTGCAAATCTACATTATTTATGTTAGGCAAGCAAACAGCTTATAAATGATCATTTTCAACATCAAGCATGGAACGAATGGCTGCCAAACTGAGTAATGTCACTGCAAAAAATTGATATCTTTGAAATTTGTTTCAAGGATCATGTGCAGAAAACCTTGCCAGGAGACATGCAAAAATCAGGACACATCTAAGGACTAGAGTACACAGCGTATGACTGAACCAATTAATTATTTTGAAAATCATCCACTTAGAAGAAAAACTGTCTGCAGCTTTGGTGACTGGCTGTTTATTTCTGATATGGAGGTTGCCTTTTATTCCTTGGGGAAGGAAGAGAACCTGATTATTGTTTCTGTCTTCTCTTTTTGAAGAGCAAGAAAGAAATAACATGGAGGAATAAAAAAAGGATAAAACTGAACTCATTTAAAATAGACTTCTAGGTCTTAGAATATTTTTAACTGTAATAAATTAATATGACTCCCTTATGATTATCTTTCAGCCAACATTAAATGATCCATCATTATTCTCCATGTATTAACCTATTATAAAAGGAAATATCTAGCAGGAGTTTTATTTAAATATTAATAAGTATATGAAAAAAACTTAATCTCAGACTCAAGACCCACCAAAATAGTGAAACTATCAGAAAATGCTTATTTTGAACTCTGTGACCAGCGAAGACACTATTCGTAGTAATATATTAGATATGCATTTTTTTTAATCACTGCTTTTTACATAGTTCATAAAGTTCATTAATTATAGGGAGAACTGATAACATTTAGTCATCCAACACCTCCCATGATGGAGCCTCATTACTGCCACATTAACCATTCCAGGGCAAAATGCCGAATTGCCGATTTCAAGCACCTATCTCGGGTTGATTTTTTTCTCTCCCTCTCTTCTTTTTGAAGTTTTAGGGCATATGTCTCAGCTATTTCTGAAAAAGAGATAGGGAGAAAAATAATTTTCTTCACCCTCTTAAAAAATGTACAGGTTTTCTTTTTAGAAGCTCAGAGCCTCCTTGAAGAGGGACTAGAGATTCACTTATGGGTGGTGATGTGTAGTGGGGCACCCTCATGTGAAGGACAAACCTGTTCTTTCACTGCAAATAACTGTACAAGCTTAGTCAACTTTAAGACCATTGAAAAAAAATCTCAAGTCTCTCCCAACTCAGTAGAGACTAGTTATATAGTTCAGATGCTAAACTCTCCAAGGATTCAATCTGCATAAAGCACACTCTAGCACATGTCTACAGGCACTCAGAAATATTTTCTCTGCAGTTGCTGTTTACAGCTGATGGGGTACGAGGCACAGGGAAACTGTCTCTTCTGTCTCTTTAGTGCCCCTACTTTTGGGGTCCAGACACGGAGGAAAAAACAAAGAGTCTGATCCAAATGCAGACAGAACAAGAACCAGACTAGGTGTTCAAAGATGGCCAAGAAACTTTAAGGAAAGCACATAAAGAGACTGAAACTAGTTAATCGAGAAGAACAGAAATATATAAGAAGGTACAGACGGCGCACAGATTGGGAAAAGGATCTGGTGGTATCTTCTGGGTGGAAAGACAAGATAAGAAAAGGTCAGAAAGGGCCCAGCTTCATGGAGAAAGATCAGAAGAGTCCATTAACCATTTTTTTCCAGAACGTGCGGAACACAAATACCCCGCCTCAGCATTCCTATGCTGTTTGCAAATATCAGCTGAAATGAGCTGGTAAAGTGTGTGTGTTCCATCCCCCTAGAGTACCAGCCCCACGGAAAGGATGAAAGCATACACTGTCAGGTAAGAAGTTGAGGTAATGGATCCAAAGATGCCAGCCCTAATGCTGAAGTATGTGGATGTCGATGCATGAACAACTGGTGCCTCCCGAGACTGGGGGGGCACCATTTGTAGGTGGCAGCATCAGTGGCGAGTAGTGACTGCCCACAGACGCTGGCATGAGCAGCGAGGTGCGGGTGGATGGCAAACGGCAACTACCTGCCAAAGCCAGCAGTGGTGGCAGCCAATCTCGGGAGGAGACATGCCCCCCAACGCCCTCCTACAAGTCGCCTATCGCATCATGGAAGTGCTTGGTTTTCAGTTGGCTTTTTTAAAAGCCTAGAAAGTAACACACAAAATATGACATTGCAAATAAACTAACTGCAAATTTGAGCATTCCAGAATTAGGAAATGCCAGATTTAAAAGATGGCCATGCAATCGACATTTAGCCTACTTTGCTGTTTTAATCGCAAGCTATTTTCTCAAAAAGACCCCTGTTCCGTTCTGTGCACAAGCCTGACAGTGCTCCAGGAATAAATCAAAACTGTGTGCTGAAGGCAGCCATTGTTAGTCAGGTACCAGCTTCATCTGCTATATAAATACGGAGGTGTACAGTTAATGAAGAAGGGGATTGCAGGAAGAGAAAAGGCAATCTCATGGCTAAGGCAGCTGAATGCAGCCCTGAAGGAAAAATTAGTCTGTGATCTTGTAATTAAAGACTGAATCCGCCACACATCCCAGGGGATAGCTGCACAGGAAGATTTAATCTGACATTTTCCAACTTTGGAGTGCTTGAGTTTCACAACTTTAACTGTCTCTTATAGAAGCAAACTAAATACTATTTGGTTTGGATTTATTTATTTGTTTGTGCAAGCAAGAAGTTGAAAAGAACTGGAAAAGATGTTTTAATGGTCATTTAGACATAGAACTGGAATGGTTCCATTGGCAAAAGTTTGCTTTAAATTTATGTCACATAAACCAACACAACTATATGTAATAATATATTGAAGACTACACATAACACCATATATCGGAGACTCAACTTTACAGTACTACACACAAATCCAATCAAATTATTTCATAATGAATCACTGTGGTATATAGTTACTTATACAATTTACTTTCTTTTAATCATTACGTATTTAATATACAAGGAGATTGTTTATTTTGTTTATACTCCAGCTTCTTTTTAATGTCTGCATTAAATATTTTAGCCAACTTTAGTGCAGCTAAAAGAAGCATTGGTCACACTTCCCAATATTTATTAATTAAACATCGGTACTGAGGGATTAGGATATCAAGAAACTAATTTAAAGGTGAGAAAAATGGCCAAAGAATGCAGATGTTACTTCAGAATGCTGCCATCCCAGCCACTTCCTATGAAGTTCATTATCTAATTTCTGCGCTCAGTGATATCCTTCTACTATGTCCCACATCAGCTGAATAATTAATTATTTTTACACTAAATGTTCACGCACCACTTAAAGAATCATCCTTATGACAACAGGAGCCTGAACTTTCAGTCTCTAAGCAAGCAAAATTTTTACTGATGTCAACACCAGTTTTGCCTGCATAAGTATTTCTGAATTCTCAGTAAATTCTGGTGTATCCTACTGAAATATTTTAGCATAAAAACATTCTCATCCAAAGTAAAGAGCATCTAAATAAATTCACTGATCATGGTCTGATGGCGACACAATGCAAGTTCTACATGGCAATATTTTATTGGACCAGTTGCATAGTAGGGAGAAGTGTTCGATAAGATCTTAGGCATAAAGTGCCCTTCCTCAGATACGGGAAAGAAGCAGATACAGCCTAAGCAAGGGCTTTTTAACCTTTTTTATCTAAGTACCCGTGGTGACTGGATGCCAGGCATGGGGGTGGGGGTGGAGGGAGAAACAGAAGGCCCTTGCCCTGGCCCTGCTCCTGGGAGGCAGTGGCTCTCTGTCCCTGACTCCATGTACCCCCTAGAACCGATCCAAGTACCCCCAGGGGTATGTGTATCCTTGTTTGACAACCCCTGGCCTAAGCTGAGGAACCGTGACTTTTTTTACTCAGTTATGTAAATAAAAGTAGTCACTTACAGAAAGGGAAGAGGGTGGTAAACCTGTGTAGGCAAAGAGAAGTTATTAGAGGTAGCTAAAAAACAAGTAATGGGCGGTTCAAATAGACAAGCTAATTATGAAAAAAATGAGAATATTTAAAGGGAAAAGGGTCATTATTACTTATAGAATACAGACAGCATACAAGGGGAAGCATGTAAATTGTAATGAGCCATAAAACCATTGTCTGTGTTTAGTCCATGTGTCTAGCAATGTAATTAATTTTTGTTCCCAAGTTCATCCTCTTAAGGTGCCACGTACATTTTTCTTGAGTACAAGAATTGGAAGATCAGAGATGGAATGGTTAAAGTGTTTCCCAAAAGTCTCTTACTTATGCAGTTGATCCAATAAAAGACATTATCAAACATACCTTGTTTTTCACATATTCCCTGGACCAATTAGCTACACAATGCCACTATGACCCTGAAAACAATAATATATCAATTACCGCCATGCAGTCATGCTCTGTTCTCCAGCCAGCCTCTCTACCTGTTTTAGTGAGTCATTGGTATTAAGTGAAAAATGTTTTTAATACTAAACACTTACCTGTAGGGTTACCAACATTATATCTGGGTTTAATTATGCTTCCCATGTGCCAGATAAACCAAGAACAACTAAAATGTTCTCTCAGTAAAATATATTGAAAGAGCCTATCCAGTTCTCTTGCTTGAGAAAAAATATGTTCCCGGCTTCTGTGCAAGACATACTTGGCATGGTATGATGTAATGCTGAACACAGCTATACAGTTGTAAGCGGACGAATTCAAGAATAATATGTTACTGTTATCATGAGACACTGAAAATTACTAAAATCATCTTGCATCTACACTTTACAAAATATGGTCATCCTATTGATTTTAAATACTGACTACTCCCCCTACACATTATTGATGTTTACTTGATCCATTTTCACCTCTTACTGTAGAATAAATAAATCAATATTCTGGAATATACAACCAGGTGGTAGGAAATAAAATGTAAGCTATCTGCAGAGAAAACAACTGAAAACAATCAGCTAATTTATCAGTTTTCTGAAATAGTAGAGACCTCCCAAAAGAGGGCAGTGCATACCATGGATAATGGCAAATGCCAGCATGTGATAAACCTACATTTTATAAAGGCAGTCTCTGTATTTCAGTCTTCGCCACTCAACCAAAAGAAGTCGCATACCAGAACAGGTGACTGCAAGTGCTTGTCTCACTCTCCTAGTCAAAGAAGTTGGATAGGCACTCACAACCCATGCAAAAGAATCTCAAGCCGATAAGGATCACCTGCTGAGGAAAAGGAAACAAATATCTTCTCGGATGACGAACTACAAAACTATGCAAGAATAAGAGAGTCTCCAATTGACTGAAAGGATTCAACTCATCCATTATGACCTGTCCTATACTGTAGTTATCATGTGGACTGGTACAGCTCACTGAACAGCCCACTGGCAACCCAGCATTATTCGGTTCAAAGGGAGGTGAGCCTAATGACAGATTCTTCACATCCAGATGTGCCTGCCAGCATAACCAATATATACTACTAAGAAAAGAGACAAGGAGACTGTGAGCATGTGGTCCTCCACTGTTGCCCATCATCTCATTCACAGATGAACATAAAAAATGTCTGGCCTAGTTTCTTCACCCCATTTATAGAATCCATAGAAAATTAATGGAGGTAATCTATCAGTCAGATTTTTTTTCACTTCATTGTCTTCCATAGGATTTATTTTATATTATGCAGTGGGCCAGACCTTCATCTGATTCAACAGACCTCAAAATGGAGATTCATTGAAGAACCTTGCCCACCTCTGTATATTCAATATATCAGAGATGCCCTTTGTCAGTAAATTAAGAACAAAAGCTAAAAATACTGTGTTTTAAAATGTCATCACAAAGAATAAATATAGGGGCTTTCCTTTGCTCTCCCATGCCATTCTCATTATCTTCAAAAGATGGGCTGAAAATGTTCCTTTACATTGGGGAAAGTTGTATTTCATAGCTGAGGGTTTTATCCATCATGGGAAATGTGTTTTCAATTACAATAATGCAACTATGTAAAATAATAATGTCACTGCTGTCACTTGCCATTTCA